AGTCGCAGAATGCACTGTTGGAGTGAATGGCGTACGTCATCCTTTTTCAGCAATCAATGAAAGCACTACTACTGTATTAGGGCAATAACGAAGCAGAGGGAGGAAGACGGGTCGGCCGTGTGGTGGAGGGTTGGCGGTATTGGTCGTTGGTGGTACGTACTGTACATATCCCCAGAATGCCCTTGCTTTTGAGCGGGACGGAGATAATTCCTGTTGTTTTCTACCTGGTGATTTACGCTCCGCTATTTTTCAATAGAGCAGATGTTTCAGCCGAGATCTGTTGGTCTTTGGATATCCACGCGAAGGAACACCCCGTATCGGGCGTGATCGTCTGTCTCTTTTGCGACGTACGCATCTGTTCGAGTCACCAAGCCCGCCTGTTCTTTGCAACGCATCCGTAGATGCCAGAGTAAATTGCCGCGCACCCTTGCTGCTCGTTAACTGGCAATATCGTCTGCAGGTAGTTGCAGGGCAAGCGTTTCGTTCGATGAAACGTAGGTTGCCGTCGGACGAATTGCCGAGGTTGGTGGGTACACTGCAATGAGCTGCTTTACATCTTCATCAATCCCATGGAGGCTTTCCGCCTTGTCCCAAGGTGAACTACAGCAGTCAGTATGTAGGCTTCACCTCTCTTTTATGGAGGGGAACCAAACGCCCCCCCCCCCAAGGTATGTAACGTATGTTTCGCTCCCCACGACGGACGCGTCATACCGCTGGCCTTGTCGTATGGAGTCTCTGTGTGTGCGTCTCTCTCTCTCTCTCTCAGCTCTTATTATTTGCAATCGAAAATACGTCAGTCAGTGCGGTTGAACACAAAAAACATTTCTTTCTGCCATGAACTGGGACCCCGTGAGGGGGCAGCATGGGGCGTACTCATATGTTTTGCATGCCTTAGCGGTTAGACCATTGACCACGCGTCCTCGAGAGGACGGAGCATCGTTCCCACAGGACCGATCACCGATGGCCAATCGTTCCTTTCTACTTCGCCAAAAGTGGCTCAAAAATGTTTTCCCTAGTCTGTCTATCCTAACGATATCCCTTCTCACCTTTTCAACCCACCTCCTATGCCCCAGTACAGCTGCCGTCCTTTCCCCTCTATTCCATGCCTCAAACATCTCCCTGTACATCCCATCTATTTTTCCTAGCTCAGTCATGTACACTTCCATCTCCTTCTTGTACAACGGACATTCCGCGACAACATGAACACGAACACGGTCTTCGCATTCGAAGCCGCATTCACATTTGAACTCGTCGTCTTCGTCGTCTACCGTCCTATGTCTTCGTTGACCTTCTCCAAGGCCTGTATCCCCGGTCCTGCAATTGACCTTAAGCTTTGTCCCTGCATCCATTGGTCCCTGTAGGTAGGTAATCCTTGAAGCCTATTCNGAAGGTCTCATCAGCAGCTTCGCGAGCATATGCGTGTCATCGTCATCGGATGCTGCAGCGAGGAGCTAGACAAGTTGCTAGATTTGCCCAGATTGGCTATTTCTGCTCAAACTGTTTCAGGGCGGTATCGCGTCGGGCGGTGGGCTCTGCTGTAGCTTCTGCTCCCCGCTGTACCTCCACAACGAGAGACTCCCACAGGATGACCAGGGTAGCGGCTTGAAGCTACGGGCTAGCCCTTCAATTCAAGCTACACAGCAAGCTCCACCTCTCAGTGGTAGTCCGGCTGCAGCGCATCGCGCAATCTCGCTCTCAATCAGATGCTACGCTCTCAATCAGGCGAATATGTTGTTACAAGCAACAGATAGATATCTTCTTGAACCCCTGTAGACCCTCCGTTTCCAGCGTTTCATCTTCGTCGATGTCGAGCCCCTTCCATACGTCCTCTACAACCTTGACCCATTCCGTGGGTTGTCTACCCCTCTTTTTGTTTGCCCACTTCGTCTCCCATACAATTCTTGGCAACCTCTCCTCTCCTATCCCGCACATGCGATACTGCCAGGTC